GGAGAAAGGGTGGTGCTCCTTCCGCTCAGACAGGTGACTCAGACCCAGGTCAGCTCTGCTGCTGCCTCCAGCCTCTGTGGAAACTCCTAGAGCCCCGGTTCCTCTAGACCAGCGGTTCTCAACCTGTGGGTCGCGACCCCTTTGGCGGTCAAACGACCCTTTCACAGGGGTCGCCTAAGACCATCCTGCATATCAGATATTTACATTACCATTCATAACAGTAGCAACATTACAGTTATGAAGTAGCAACGAAAATAATTTTATGGTTGGGTCACAACATGAGGAACTGTATTTAAAGGGCCAGAAGGTTGAGAACCACTGCTCTAGACAGTGAGTGGGGATTGCCTTCAGCCCGAGGCAGCTCCCTTCTAGTCTGGCAAGTTTGCTTCCAGTACTTAAAACACACACACACACACACACACACACAAACCTAAAAAAAACCCCACACACCTTTCCTCTCCACTCTCTCAACTCCAATAAACTCACTCCTGCTTAGTCAGGCTCACTTCCCTCTGCGTGCAAAAGAAAAGACCAGAGCATTATTTATCTTATACAAACATGCCTTCCTGTTCTCTACAAAGGTGGATTTGAGATGTCTTCCAAGATTACATGCATTAACACTGGAAAAAATTTAAATAAAAATCAAGGTCAGAGAATTTCAGACAAAAATATACAAATCAGGGTGTCTCACATCATTACTAAAGGTGAGGTGTGAATTTGGCTCTGAGCTTCCTGGCAGCCAAAGCAAGAAGAGGAAAAGGGTGCATTTAATGATTCACTGTTTCCCGGAGGAAACACACACCCGTTCTTCAGGGAAAGCGATGGGATTCCTGGACTGAGTTCTGAAAGGTGGTTTTGCCCAACATTAGTGTGATGGAGCGAAAGCAGTGCCTCATCGGGTCCCACCTGATCCTCCATTTCCACGGATGCCCCTTCTGGGCTCCGAGGCTCCGAGTTGTTCCGTGCCCGGTGCTGGTCTGGGCGTGGCTGGCAGCTGCTTTGACCAAAGCTTTTGACTGCAATGTCACGACGTCTGCAGTAACTTGGAGTTCACACTTAAGTGCGGTGTCTTTCTTGCTGTCTGGCTAGAGCTCCAGCTACTGTTGTTCTGAGTTGCCTTTCTGTTGGGAAGGTGCATGCAAACGCTGGGGCTTCGGGCATCTGCCATGTTGCAGATGAAACACTTGCAGCATGTCGGCATTTTAGCCAGGGCCTCTCGCTGAGCCACCCCGGGTCTTCCTCTTTGAGAGTCTGAGCTGCCCTGCAGGGCTGGAGGGGTCTTAGGGCTTATGCCTTTCTGAACAGCACCTAGATGAGGTGCCACCTGGAAAAGGCCCCGACCCACTGTGGGCTGCCTGTCCCTGAGTCACCCTCTTCTCCGCTCCCCCTTTCAGCTTAACCACTTCCTGCCCACGACTTGTCGTCTGAATAGCACAGTCAGAATGACATATTTGAACACTCCCCTACCATCTGGTGTCATTTCCCCTTAAGGCTGATTACCTGTCCGAGTGTCAGAATTTTGTCTTCTGGAAATCTGTAGTCCTGCCAGCGCTCCGACTCTTCTCCTTGTCAGTATAATCACCGCCATTGCTCCCATGTCCTGGATGCTTCCTGACGCCAGGCCCTGGGCTCGGCTCTCTTTCATCCCTTTCCTCTCGAGTCCCCCTCCCCCAAAGCCCTGGGAAGTACAGTTAGCCTTCTCCATGCACAGGTTTTACATCCGTGAATTTAACAACCAATGTGAAAATATTCTTAAAAAGAAATCCCAGAAAGTTCTGAAAAGCAACCCTTGAATTTGCCACGTGCCGAGCACTTGCTCCGAGCCCACCTGGATGAAGCGATGTGTAGGCACACCTGCTCAGCCCACCTGCCAATGCAGGTTCTATGCAAATACCACGCCATGTGATATAAGGGGCCGGAGCATTCTTGGAATTTGGTGTCGGAGGGGGAGGGTGTCCAGGAACCAATCCGCTTGGATGCTAAGGGACGACTGGACCGTCCTCACTTCACGGACAAGGAGAGCAGAGCCCAGGACAGCTGCCCAGGTCACCGAGTGTAAAGGGTGGAGTTGCCACTGGCCCTTAGATCCATCCGACTAGTCTGTGTGCTTGACCAGCACCCAGGACCCCTTCCCAGGTAACTACAGGGTGTGGCAGCCGTGGCACCCCTCCCTCCAGAGCCTCTCGTTCTGCTTGGCCAGCTCGCTCACGTTTGATCATAATGAGCTCCAGTGCTTACGATAACAGCATTTTCTACCTTCTGGGTTGGGACTATTGGCAAGGCAAGAGTTTGTCCAACACTCTGACTTTAACCAGGTGACCATTTTAGCAGGTGGATATTGGGTCTTCCATCCCCACTGGCCACTCTGTGGGGCTGGGGGTGGCCCCTAGGTGTTACCCAGCCTGGCCATCCGGGTGGCCAGTAGGGTTGGTGAGCTGGTGTGTTTCTCCCTTTCCTCCGTCCCATTGGCCTTCCCGGGTCTTTTCTCTCCCAGGCCCATGGATTCCTTAAAGGTAGACACATTCTGACCCAGAGCTTTCCGCCTTGAGTCACATTGCTTTATTCCCCTCTGGACGATACACTCACCCCGAGGCAGCAGTCGGCAGCCCCATCCACCTTGACTGGTCTCAAGGCAGAGTGGGCAGGTATCTTACCACCCAGTTAGTGCCAAGCCCTGAGCAATGCTTCCTGTACAGTCCCTGCCTGGGGGGCCCTTGGTCATTGGAGCCGAATGTCCCTAATTGATGGGAAGGCCCAAGAAAGCAATAACGAGGAAGTGCTATTCCAGAGACTCTTGGCAGAGAGCCTTGATGTCCCTCCTCCTCTAGGTCACAGTGACGTCGGAGAGGCAGACCAAAGAGGGACTCCAGGCCTCCGGGGAAGTTGTGTTTAGTAAGTCCTGGTTGGATAAGTACGGTGATGTCATGGGGTCCACAACCAGAAAGATGTGGTGTAGAAAGAATGTCTTCAATCCGGACAGGATGTCTTCGCCCAGGAGCATGCTGGGTGATTGCACAAGACGCCCCAGGAGGTTCAGGAGTCCGCGTTATTCCTCACGATCGGCAGGGAGGGAGTTAGAAAGAGGGAAGCGTGATGACTTAGCAATGAGAATCCACAGTTGTCTTGTGCACTCACAATTTCTGCCCCATTAACTGAAACCTGAGGCCGCTCTATGGTACATGAATAGCTGCATTCAAAGGCTTAGAAAAGGAAAGTTGCTTTACTTGGAAAATTGATTACAGTTGGACATCGCTTTTGCAGGAACGGAGGCAAAGGAATGGGGCTCTGGAGTCAGAGCTCGCTGGCTCTGTGGATTGAGCAATGCCTCACCTCTCTCCCTGCTTCGCGGGCTATGAAATGGGGTCATGATGGCACTCCCCCACCCCCACCCAGGGCTGTGTGAGAGGTCATGGAGGCACCGAGCACTCAGGAGATGTGGGTTAAACAATATTGTGACATGGGCCGTATAATATAACGAAGGACACTCTTCATCAGGCAGCTGTGGACAAAGTCAGGAAACCTTGGATAAGATTTGTCATCGTGTGGGGAGGCGCTCTATACGTGAGAGCTGTCTGCCCAGTTATCTGTGGTGCAGAGCTTCCTCTCCTCGGCCGGGTGAGCAGGGCCCCCGGGAGAAGACAGTTTTCTCCCATGTTCACTCCTACAGGTCACTCTTTCGTGGGTTCAATTTGGAGCCTGTCCAGAGGGGGACCCTAGAATCGCATCCTAGACAGGCCCTGCACGTGGCTGCTCAGTTTTGGAGAAAGTGGAAGAGCCAGGCCACTTTCCCCAAGTAGAACTCGCAGGAAGATCCTTTCTCATAAGACCCGCAGGCTGCAGGCCACAGAGTTAACTCCGAGGGTGCCATGAAACCTTTCCAAAGTTTTAAGCGGGCCCAGCTGGTGTGGCCCAGTGGTTGAGCATCCACCTATGAATCAGGAGGTCACGGTTCAATTCCTGGTCAGGACACATGCCTGAGTTGCGGGCTTGATCCCAGTGTGGGACATGCAGGAGGCAGCCGATCGATGATTCTCTCTCATCATTGATGTTTCTCTCTCCCTCTCCCTTCCTCTCTGAAATCAATAAAAATGTATCAGGTGGTTTTTAGAATAAGTCACTGGTCACGGAGAAAGACACCCTTTTCCTTCCTCTTGACTCTAAGCTTGTGCTCTCTTGGGGGAGCCAGAGGAGTCGGGTCAGCAGACTTGCCAGGCCGAGGAAGGAGCTCCGTGCCAGGCAGTCCCTGGAGGCCGGCTCCAGGGGGCAGGGTTTCGTGGTGTGTGCTTCCGTGTGTCTTCCGCTGTGACGGAGCCCAGCACAGAGCGGGCGTTCAGTCCCTCTTGCTAAAGGAATTAACACACTAAAATGAACCGAAGGGGTTAATACGTAAAAGAACCTGCTCCGCTGGGTTCCTTCCTCCTCTCAGTGAGTGGTGTCAGACACGAGGTCTTTCACAATGTGGTGTCCTCCCTGCACGTGTCCCATCGCTCACCACACGCTCTCGGCCTCCAGGCCGCCCCTGAACACCTGCCTCTTCCTTCTCGGCACGTCTCCTTTCCTGTGAATACCCCCCCTTTCTCGGGGGCCCGACTCGGATGCCACCACCCGATTTCTCACAGCATGTCCCTGCCCAAGTTTATTCCACAACTAACTACCCTGGTGTTCTTCCCCGTCAGACCACGGGCTGCTGGGAAGACAGGAAGTCTTGCTGTCGCATGCTGCCTGTATGGGAGGTGTCACAATGACGAGGGAGCCAAGAGGAGTGCAAGAGCAGGGGACATGGGTAAGTGGAGCAGCCGGTGCTGTTACTAATTCTGATCAACAAACAGGCTCAGCTGAAGCCACACAATTGAAACTCTCAGCACAGGATTCAAGGGCTGAAAACTTTTGGCCAATGGATTTTTCCATGAAATGAAAAGAAAAAAGAAATCTTATTAACTCAGTTTTGTAAGTAAAAAGCATGAGAGGTTAAATTGGGGTACAAAACATCAAGACCCAGATTTCTTTAATAATGAAATAATTTATTATTTTTAATGGTTGAACAATACAGACGTTTACATATACACAGCAAAGGTTCTCTAAAACATGTAGTCCTTCTAAAAACGCATGTGCTAACTGTAATAAAAAGCACCATTCTCTATGTCTTGACACAGGATTTACATTGGCGTCGTATTTACATAAAGAAACATCTGGAAACAGAATTGCATACTGTCATCTCCCTGTTTAGTGTGTGTTTACCATGAGGAAAATGGCCCCCAACACTTGATGGTTAACAGCAACATTCCCAGAGCACCAAGTCTAGGGACAAGGGGGAAGGCAAGTTTGGTAAAATCAAGAATGCCCCCTCCTCCCCCCAGCCCTCTAGAGAGAATAAGAAATCAAAATAAAAGATCTGGATCAACGTTAGAATTGGGTGTCTTACTAATTCTCATTTTATGATTTTTGTGTAAAGACAAAGATACTCGATTTCTTCAGCCATTCAATAGCTGAGTAGCAGTGCCAGGCAATTATTTCTTCTTTCAGAAGAATGTAAGAAAATCGCCCATGTAATATTAATGAAAAATCATGATAAATCACATATTGCAGCCCTCCCCACAACCCCCAGGTATCTTCAAAAACAAAGAGATCTGATCAAGTAGAATGAGAAATACCAACTCATCTAACAGGGCCTTTGGGTCATCTTCTCCCAGAAGAATTTTTAAAATCATGAGTAGCCAGCTACCTAAACATACTGCATCCAAGAGTTAGACATAGAAAAAATAATAGATTGCCATGCAGGAAATGCCTTGCAGCCTTTGGCTTCCTGGTGCCAGGGCAGGTAAAGGGGAAGACAAAAAAAAAAAACCACTTGGGAAAACAAGGACGGAGAATTGGGGAAATAGATTATAAAGCACAATGAAAGCGATATTCTTGCCAATACCTTATGGTATAGAAATCTAAATGATAATGTGTATGTATATTCTTTGCAAAAATAAGTTTTCTCTTTAAATGATGGGGAGAGGCAAGAAGAAAAAAAACCCACAAAAATCCATTAGCAAGCCCCCAAATATTGCTAGTCATTTTGAACATCAGAATCCTACCTAGTTTACACTTTTTTTTCTCCCCACACCCTAGGATTTGCTCTTGGCCACGTGAGGGATGAAGAAGAGAGGCCCATTGGGAACCCAGGTAAGGTTCCTTTGTTTCTTTTTTAAAAAAGTAGAGGTTAAAGGAAAATGGCCACCTTAAAAAAACACACCAAAAAACACTCACGTGGCCAACTGCAGGGTCAGGACCTGCTTAGACTTAAGTATTCAATTTTGAATGGAAACTGAAATTATTCTAGTCTTGGGTTGACAGGGAGAAGAATCCAGGTCCTGAACCAGTCACTAGAGGAAGGTGCCAGCAGTCGCTGTCAGCACCTTGAAGGCTTCGCATCCCTGCTTAGCAACAGAAAACACACAAAATGCCCGGGGGCTCTGCCGCCGTCCTAAGCCAGAAGGCACGGGCAGTTGTGTTTCCTGGATGCTAACAGAAGCATACACATCTACCTCCTCACAGCATAAAACGAAACTGGACGACACACTCTTATTCCCCATTTGCATTGCAATGGTTTCCGTAAGAATGTAGTTGAGATTTCCTTTCAGTTTTTTAAAATCAATTTTCACATAAAAATATGCATGTGCCTATAGTTATACACAGATCTGTTTACGTACAGTTGTCAAAATCTTAAAGGCTGGGGTTTATCTCTTTGCTCATCCCCTCCCCCCAACAACCCGAATAGAAAGGTTTTTCATTTTGCTTAAAAAACTCAAAACAACCAAGAGGACTGTATAGTTCTCAACAGTCAAGCTGGTGGATCAGTGAATGAGAGGACAGACTGGCAAACCGTGCTGCCCATCAGCCGTGTGGGGAAGGGGATTAGCTGCCGTGGGCTGAGTTTGCTGGTCCTGAAGGTTACAGTTTTGGTCAGAGAGAAGCCCATCTAGCTTGCCGATTCCGTTTACCTCGAGTTTAGAAAGTAACATCTAACCCTGGTGTCAGTTAATCTAGCAAGTTCCACATTTCTATGCAGTCAGATTGAAAAGGACCAGACAAACAGTGCAAAGGTCAAATAATTACTGTTTTATATCGGGACAGTACATTTCATATTTCAACCAAAAGACAAAAAATGCAGTTTAACTCAAAGGCACAACAATTAAAACACAGAAAATAATGGCATCTCTGAGATGCCTTATTTCTAAATTAACAAATACACAAATTTTGTTCCCTTCCCTCCCCCAATGCAAGCCCACAAGCTTCTCCCAGAGTCTTGAGTTTCTGATGCCATCCAGCATCGTGGACTTGTGAGGCGCTTGAACATAGCTATTAAACAAAATGCTTGTGAGGTCTAGCGAATGGCATTCAAAAAGGACCTCAAAGTGCAGACATATCTTTTCAAACACGTTACAGGCTGAGCTGGTTCTCTGAACACTATCACGCTGCTTAAACTCAGGAAGCAGGCTTTAAAAATGCAGAAGGCATACAAATTGTATTTCAGTGCAAATCTTCAGCTGGTAATTGGAAAAGATTCCAACAATAAAAAAATCCTTTGTGTCACCTGCCCCGCCCCCACCCAAAGCTGAAATGAAGGAAAAACCAGAACAAAATAAACACAGGAGAGTTATACATGACTTTGGGATCATTTAGCAATCCACTGCTTCCAATTAAAAAATTTTTTAATCATTAATTGAGAAAACACAAAAGTAATCTTGCTCTGTTTACATTGCTCTCATGTCTAGAATGAGCTGCTGTGCAGAGTGTGTTTGAACACTTGGTTGTGTGGAGGTGGAGTGGTGAGGCTGTGGCACGCTAGAGACCGCAGGCCAGCGCGGGCACGGCTGGCCCCGCGCTGGTTCAGCTGTTGAGCCCTTAGGTTGCAGTGCGTCTGTGGGTTTTAGGAATGTTCTTATCACTTTGTGACATACACTCTGTTTCAGCGTCACAGACTTTACAAATGGTTTAAATTCAATGGAAAAGATTCGCCAGAGGCTGAAAATATCAAGACCTCAAAAATATGAATGCAAAAATATTAAGGGGAATGAACCAATTTGTAGATACCTACATACAAAGTTTCTAGGACATCTATAAAAGCACAAAGTCATAAGAATTTATTTTCCATTACATTAGTTTATATAAAATGAATAAATAGTCTTTATAGATTTAATGTGTCTTATGTACATATACATGTGCTCTGTTTTAGCTTAAATAAAAATGCTACAAAGTGGGAGACCACGTAAGGGAGAAATCATAACCAAGAAGAAAAAATCAGCCTTTTAAACTATCAACCCAAAAGCCTTCATGAAGAAGTTCCGGGTGAGTCCAAAAATAACGAGGGATTCTAGTAACACGTACCAGCCCCTCCTGTTCCCCTGCAACACAGAGCAGAAACGTGGACTTTCCTTTCACTGGTGGTAGGCACTAGCTCAGCTAGTGTCAAAGCTCAGTTATTGCTGAAAGTTAAATAGGAAAATAGATTAGAATTGGACCAAATGTCACTTATTCTGGGGGGAAAGAGGCATAATCACTTTGTGTTAAGTGGGAAATGGAGATCTAATTTATCTCTGAGGTAGGAAAAAAAAATGTTCCAGAGACAAGTAGCATAACAAACTTGGAGAAGAATGCGCATTGGGGATAGCAGTACACAGCGCAGCCCCAAAAACATCACAAAAATAGACGGTGCTATTTTGTTTGTGAGAACAAACAATATTGGAACTTTGATGAGCTGTGCAACCCCAAAGCCATACTCTCCAGGTGTCCACTTCAGAGAGACAGACGCCCATCCGCACGGGGTTCTGGGACTGAGCACGGGGTGCGGGTGTCCCCTGGAGGTATTCCTGCCTCCTCCCTGGGGAGAGGTCTGTGGGTAAGTGCTCTTAAATGCCACTGTCAAAGCCGACTTTGGAGTTCTGAGGTCAGGCTCTCAACTTTGAAGCTTGTTTCCTTCAATTCCTAAGCACAAGACACAGTCATACATTTCTGCTAGGCAAGTAACACAGTAAGCCAGAAAACGTTAAGCAAGGTCTGGTAGGCTACGTGGGGACAGTAAATAAGAGGGGAAACTGCTGAGATGTGAAAATTGCTTATTCGGTCTAAGAATTCTTGGGTGCTTCAAATTGATTGGAATGTACAGTCTCTCAGACAAATTTTTGTGGAGAGAAAGAGAAGCTAGTGGATGAAATCCTAAGCACTCCTTGCAAACGTTTACAGAGCTGATGTGGTGAAGGTGGTACACGGAAGTTGACGTGCAAGGGAACCGTGGGCAGGTCCAGTACACTACCTACTCGGAGCCGACAGGAGACCAGGGGCAGCCGCAGCGACCTCTCTCTTATAGCCCGAGGCACGTCTTGCGATTGTCCTGGAGCTTTATTCTCTTGATGCTGGCGCTGGAGTAGCCCTCGTCACTGCCGAGGCTCTGCATGCTTCCCCGCTCGTCAGAATCACTCACGCTGCTGCTGCTCCAGTCCAACTCGCCCGTGAGATCGTCTGTGCTTTCAACATCCACATCGATTTCTTCTGTGGGAGGACAAGGGAGACAGGGGTAAAGGCACCCTTCAGAGAACTCAGGCGGAAAACCCCAGCGACTCCAGGCCGAGCCCTCTGGACTCTGGGGCCTAACTGCTAAAAGGAGAGAGGGACTCGCTACTGACGGTCAGCTCAGCTTCCCTACATCACAAGCAGGTTCTTAGTTCCCTGTCCTGCCTCTGGCCGGTGGTAGAGGGGGAGGGGGGTGAGGGCACAGGGATCGGGGCTCACCCCTGTCGGAGTCGGAGCGCTCGGATGAGACCGTGGAGCCGATGCTGTCCATTCGTATCCTCTCGATGCCCAGCTTCTCCAGCTGCCTCTTCAGGTGCCGCTGCTCTCGCTGAAGCTTGTCTATTTGGTGAATGGCTTTCCTGTCACAATCTTCAAGTTTCTGCAAGTCAAAGGGGTAGTGAGAGTCCACAGGCAGATTTCACAGTTGGCAATGACCCTGCATCTTCCTCTCTAGCATCGGCTTCTGAAAAAATTGGCAGATTTCCTTCGGTGTGTGAGTAGCTTCGCACAGAGACAGGAAGTTGACTGGCTTGGGGACTCCTGTTTTCGCCTGACACCTTCGGCACTGACAATGCTGTGCCTGTGCTGTCACGAGGACTCTAGGGGGGAGCTCTGAGACTAGCCTCCTGGTGCCCCTCACTTTTGATACGGAAAAGACTGCAGGCAGGAACCCCCAACCTGGCCTCCCGTGCCTGCAGCGACACCCTGAACACCTAATCTCCGAACTAGAGCAGTGCATGTGGTGGGAGCTTAGGAAACAGACTTCTATTTAAATGTGTGTTTATTCAAGTGCATGGCCCAATTACATAAGCACTTTTTGCATCATGCCAAATCTCAATTAACTTCTGTTTGTTAGGAGGAAATAATAGTCCCTTTTGAAGTCCTGATTCCAAATTGTCCAACATAAGAGCTTTGAAAACACATTTCCGTAGACCACTTGTTTTTACAAATATGTCCTCTAGCTTCTCATATTCTTCAGATAATTAAGAAGATTGTTTAATTGTGATTGTTTTGCTCTAAACAGAGATTCTTCCCCCGCCACCCAAGAAATGTCATGAATGTAGGCTACTAACCATAATTAAAGTGACATTTTCCAATCCTATATAATAAAAGGGTAATATGCAAACTGTCCCCTAGACCGGTAGTTTGGCTGGAGTTCAACAGGGGGAGGGGCCAGCCAGACCCCAGCCGTGCATGAATTCATGCACCGCGCCTCTAGTCATGACTAGAAACACATGCTGCAAGAGCCTGAACAGAACTCACTCCCCCTTTGCTATCCCAGCTCCGTACTAAGGCTACCTCTGTGCCAGCCCTCTCGGAAGTCCTGGGGATACAAGGTGACCACAGAGACCTGGTCCCCTCCCTGGGGAGTCTATATTCTAAGGATGGAGACAACCAAATAGTCACACAAACCCCTGCTGCAATGCCAACTGTGACAAGTGCTAAGAGAATCACCCGGTAATAGGACCACCTGTCACAGAAGAAAGTAACCAGGTCAGGGAAGGTTTCCCTGAGCTAGTGGTATCTGTGCTGAGATATGAAGAATGACAAGAAGTTAAGTAGGTAAAGAGGGGAAAGCATCCAAACAGAGGGAACAGCATGTACAAAGGCCCTGTGGTCTGAGAACATGACAAGTGCTAGGGACTGAAAGGAGGTCTGGGGCAGAGAGGGTGATGCTGCACACAGGTGAGGGGCAGGCCTGGTGGCAGAGTATGTCCTGAACCACAGAAGAATTCTAAACAGGGTGACAGAACTTGAGCTCAGGACGGATTGTTCTTGGGAAGCACAGAGATCAGCTCAGAGGAAGGCACTGCAGGATTTATTACAGTAGATGATGGGGTGGAAAGGGAAGGAGACAGGCTGTGAAATATCTAGGTCTTGGAGACAACTTAGATATATGGCTAAGAAGCAAGAGCTAACAAGGATTGCCCCGAGTTTCTGGCTTGTATAATCCGATGGGCAGTTGGATGGACCACTTAACTTCTGGTGCCTAAGGGTAAGAAACACGCAGATGGGTCTGGACGGGTTGCGTTTGGGGTGCCTGTGATTCATCCAAAAGGCGGGAAGGAAGCGCTCAGAGGTCCTGCAGATATACATTTGCTGTCCTCGTAACAAACCCTTACTGCTCAGACAAAGATAAACAGGCATCTCAAGGATACACTTACCTTTATGTGCAATTTGGCTGTTGTTAATAAACTCAATGTAGTGTGTCGATTTGATTCAGGCCCGAGCGGCACTAGCCCCTTCAACTTCTCCAGGCACAAGCGAAGTTGGGCCCGTCTATAAAAACAAGATCACAGTAGCATTTCAGAATTTCATGGCAGGCCAAGAGGTACGCCTCAAGAACAAGTTCTGAAAGAGTATGAAGTTGCCCAGGCCCAGTGATGTCCAAGACCACCAATGACCTCTTGCCCAATATATACCTCTGGTGAAAACCAAGGAGAAGCAAAATCCAGGGTTTTCTACAGTTAAATCTATTTGAAATACCTGTGTTGGAATAGGGACTAATATCTACTGTTCACCAGGCATATTTATCAGGTTATCTCCAGGTTTCTGAATAGAGACTATCCAAATTCAGAAAATAATGATATGCCAGGTGAGAATCCTTTTAAACCATACTTATCTTTACCCATTCAGGACCACTAAGTCACTATAATTACATCATTGCTGTAGACAGTATTTATACATGTGAATGACATATTATTCATTAAGTTTTATCTGAAATAGCAAAGACAGAAACAACCCCAATGATCATCAATAGGGAGTAAATAACTAGGGTATATCCATGTAGTGGAGTACTATGCAGCTATGAAAAGAGGATATGTTCTATGTGCTATTAGGAAAGAACTCTCAGGTATATTAAGTGAAGAAAAGCAAACTGCATATAACATGCTATCTTTGGTAAAAATGGAGGAAATATCTGTGTCTTCTTGTATGGACATAAAATCTAGAATGATACATAAACTAGTAACAGTAGTTGGGCAGAGAGAAGTCAGGGAACAGTCAGACTGGGATGAAGAAAGGGGGATAATTTTCACTGAATAAAGTGTTATACCTTTTGGTTTTTCAACCATGTAAACTACTGCTATTCAAAAGTTAAATATATTTTTTAAAAATAATGAAAAAGTACCACTGGTAATGCTACATGAACAAGCATGCTGAACAGCTGGAGAGAACCACGTGTATGTCGGAGAGTGGCAGAATGGAGCCATGGGACAGAGCGGAAGAGGAGAGAGGCTGGATGAGGCAGAAGCCACAGCAACACACGGAAGAGAGGGCCTTTCGTCAAAGACTGACCAGAAGCCCAAAAGTTCCTGCATTTTTGGAAATTAATACTTCATTGAAATCTTGGTTTGGGTTTTATTCTAGAACAGGGGTGAGGAACGGCTGGCTCGCGAAATCATTGGGTCTGGCCCTGCCAAGGCATTAGGGGTGAGTTAATTAAATGTTTGACCAAATACAGCAGGCTAATTTTTAATGATGTTATAAACGGCCTTGGGCAGGAAAAAAGTTCCCCACCCCTGTTCTAGAACATGGCAGATTCTATGAACATGGCCAAGATTCAGAGTTTTTCTTTCAGCTGCCACCTCCTAAAGCCTTCGCAAGCCTTCCAGCCCATGAGATTCCGTTCTCTGAGTACTTCGTTGTTCATGCTGTGCACTGGGAGTTGACTGTGCTGATGTGGTGTTTGGCATTGTGACTGAACCATTCATTGCAAGCTCCTCAGAAAGTGGGGACTGCAGCTTCATCACTGCTGTTGCCACAGTGCCTCCCCCTCCCACAGGCTTAATAAATGTTTGCCGATCGGAGGATGCCATCTAGTTAACTAGACTTCAAGCCCCTCGAGGAGAGGCCACTTCTCCCTTCTCTGCGCCTTCAGCAGTGCTCAGGGTACTGGGGTGTCAGACACAGGCCATTCCCTACACACAATGACCTGAGCAGAGCTCCTAGGAGCCTGGGAGCCTCCTTGCAGCTGAACTTGAAGAAAACCTTAAAGCTTAGTTTGCCCTTTTCCTCCCTCTTAAAAACTTTACTGTATTAATGGAAGCTGGGAATGCAGACCAAAAGGAGAAAACCGTCAGAAAGCTCTACGATAGGTCAGTATGCAAGGAAGTCAGTTCACACCCTTCATATCAAGACTTCAGGTGACACCCCAAGGCAGATCTGACCAGGGGTGCACTCGACAGCCTTTTGAGCCCCTGCCTCATCTGCTTCTGAGCCTCCTTCCTCGTCTGGATCTTAAAGGAGCTGTTCTACATTCTCCAAGGGCCCTCTAAGCCTTAATAAGCTCGAGAAGAACCGCACTCATTCCTGAGCCAGGAAGACTGAATGGGACAAATGCCTAACTATATTATAAGACTTCCACTTGCTCTGAAAACCTGTCCATTTGTTATGGTCACAAGCAAAGACTCACATTAGAGGTCTGTTCCTCCTTCTGCATGGGGGCGGGGGAGCAGAACCTGTGTAAAATGTACTTGTTCACCGTGGATAATAATATTCTTCAAAAAGAGCAGTGAAAATCGATCGTTACTAGAAACACCATAAGAAAGTATACTCAGTCACATACTTATGCATACAGTTATCCAACTTATTTCTTACTACGAAGTTTATAGACTAATTGTTGAGTTAGGAAAAAAAGCTCAAATTAAAAAGAGTTGGACATTTTTCAGTTGGCTTGTTATTTGCAAAGACGGCATGATTCAGAACAGAGTCACATTAGTCTTTATGATGTAGGTTTATCTACAGATGAGTATGTAAATTTTTTAGGAAGTTTGTCTACTGATAAAAATATAATAATAAAGTCATCTTTCCATGCACCGTCATTCTAGTTACACAGGGAGTCTAGCCCAGAAAGTATTTTCACTACCCAAATGTGGGTTTCCAAAGAACACTCCCAGTTGTGAAACTAGAAATAAGCAATTTGACTAATTTGAGCTGAAGGTAATACATGTTCACTCGGTGTCTTCTGGTCTCGTTCTATGAAAATAGGACCGAAGTGCTTTCTGGCACGTTCCTAGCACCTCACTGCTCCAGCCTGAGGGCCACCGTGCCCACCTGCCACCTGCCTGCAGACACACCCCTGGTTGGTGCCTGGCTCAGTTCCGTCACAGAGCAGTGATATTCAATTCCTGAACCAGATAACAAAATTCTACAGACATCTCTGTAACAACTCCCCCTGAGGATCCTCAACCCTGAGACACAGACAGACACACAGACACACCCTCCACCCTGGGACCTGGACTCCTGCAGCCAGCCCTGAGCACCATGGAGCTCCCAGATCCAAAGCAAGCAGAACAAGCCCTTGTCTCAGCTCTCCCCTCAGTCCTGACAGCCTCCTGCCCAGGGATCTGGTTTTGCAGGAGGGGCCTGGTGACCACTTTTGAACCAGGTCCAACTCCCCTTTGGGGAACTGGCAGGGGGTCTGCCACATATCCTCAACAGGAAGCCATTAGACACCTCGCCGTGACCCCTCCGTGCAGCTCCTCCCATCACATCTTCAGACAGTCTCGCCTTCTGCTGCCAAGAGCTGCCTCCCCACTCCCCACCCCCAGCAGAAGAGGGTTTTGCCAAATCCTGGCTCCTTTTGGCCCCAGACTGCCTCTTCCTTTTGCCATGATCCAACTGCTCTGTACCAAGGTCATGAACTTTGACAACTTCACCTGCTGACTCTTCAGAAATGTTGCTTTAATTATTCTGAATGGGCTGATACACCTTTGGTCTATAGTAGCATAAAGAAACCAATCTTTGATCTGAGCTATAATCAGTAACACTCGGAATAAAGTGTGGCCTATAACTAAATTAGATATAAACTATAGTTTCTTGTCAGTAAGTTTTTAATATCTCAAATTTTATTTACTTTTGTTTTTAATTATTTTAAAATCTGAATCTGTCAATCTCTGTAAAACCAAATATTAGTATAGTGATGAAGAGTCAAGTTTTGGGACCCTGACTCTGCCCCTTCCTCCCTGTGTGACCTTGAGCAAGTTTCTTTACTCCATGGAGCCCTCATTTCCTCAGCAGAAGGGTGGCAATGCCCACCTGAGGGCCGTGTGATAACTGAGACAAGGCAGGGAAGCCCCTGGGCCAGCTCTGACATGGAGTACTCCATTTCTGGTAGCAGTTATTCTTTCAATCCTCGCTTCCTCTGTAGAAGAGTAATTACTGGGAGCAAACCCATAATCATAGCTCTATATTATTTCTTTAAAATCAGTAGGGAACTCCGTGTCTCACTAGGTAGGTAGAGGCTAGCTGATAAAATCCAATCACTAAACTCGTCCTTAAAGAAAATAGATCTCTTCTGCCATTAAAAGATGGACAGTCTTAGCCATTTTCTATGGAAACACAGATCTTGCTTATGCTAAAAGCACTTTTGTTTTACATTATAAAATTAGCACAGAGTTTATAAAGCTATTGCATGCGAAAGAAGAAGATTCCTTCAGGCCACCCACATCACGTAGAGGCAGGGGAAGGAGGGACTCAAAGGAGGGAGGGCACGTCCGAAATGCTTGGCCTCCCTCTCACACCTCTACTGCGATGGCCAAAGGAAAGGAAAGATAGGGGCAAAGTGCTGATCTTGGAACTTCAAGCACATCTCTACGTGTGTTTTCAAATCCAGAGACCCTAAAACACCTAGCACAATAGCAAGAAGAAAGGATGGCATGTTCCAGAACAAACTTAAAACAGTCTGGGAAGGATCTCTGGAAAGAAAATGACCAAACTTTGCTGAGAGACATAAGAAAATATGAATAAATGGAAAAAACAGCAAATTCCCAGATATGAATCCTCAAAGTAAAAATGTCAATCTTACCAAGTTTATCTATAAATTTAACATAATTCCAAGAAAAAAATCCCAACAGTATTCTTTATAATACTGGGAAATTAGTTTTAACTTCATCTAGAAGAATAAATGTGTGAGAGAAAGACTGCCAAAATTTTTTAAAAAGAAGAATGAGGAGGAAATGTGATATTGAATTGTATTATAAAGCTTCAATAATTAAAAACAGTATATACTAATACAGGACTAGACAGACAAATCAAGTGAACAGAATAAAAAATTCCCAGGAACAGACCCAAGAATAGATATGAATTTAGCATTTAGTGGGAATAGCACTGCAAATCCTTGGGGGAGGGGGAATGGATTAGTCCGAAAATGGCAGGGAAGTGGGGAGACTAACATCAAAATAAATTCCAAATATATTAAAGATTTAAATATAAAATGCATCTGGATGCCATGCAGTTCCGTTGTTAGTTTTCCTTAACTATTGTCAGCATGAGTCTGA